CTACAGATATAAATCAACAACACTTCTAAATGCAGTAAAATAAAAATGCATTGAGCATTAATAAAAGTACATTCTACTGCGTGTCCTAATTCCCCACCCATAATACCCTATAACCACCGTTTTCGAGGGAAAACATACAGGTCGTAGGAATTAAGGAGTGGGGCTACATAAGCTACTGTTGCCGGGACTTCTTGTTCCAGCGATCGCATCTTCTACTTCTGAACTGCTTCCCTGGACTCGCGGGTCGTTTCATTCAGAAATTTTCCTTTAATGAAGCCTAGAACGTACAAGCTTAGGAATCAGATTGTGCATGTCTAATTTTGGCAGGATGTTGGGCTTTTTCAGTCAGTCGATGGACAAAAACCTTAGCAAATCAATTAATGGAGCTATTGCGGACTCTATTTTCTTCCATTCACTATATTTCACCATTGCTGGAACTGTGAGTAAACTAGGTGCTGTACAGGCCTGTGCCACTGTAAACAACGTCATATGCGAGCGGCAGTTAAGTCCACCTCGCGGGAAAGCTGGGAGGGTCTTTGCTCGGTACGACTGAACTATCATATATAAAGAGGACTTGGGTATTGGAAGGCTTTTTCTATGTCCACCGTGCGAACTTATTGCACAACAGTTGCGGAATAGTTACAACTTCAATAAAAATAAACGTTACATTAAATGCTTGTGACTTCAAAAGTGCATACATACAAGAGAGTCAAAAATATAAAGCCTTCCTTTAAGTTTTTGATAGTTTATTAGAATTCTTTTTAAACACATTCATTTCTGCATTACTACAGGAGCCAGCCAAGGCAGCGGAAGAGTTCATGGCCGGAAACCCTACAGTCTCGGACATCAGTGATAAGATAAAACACTTCAGCGTAAGTTTTGCAATCTCTTCGCTATTAACGCAAATTATAACCATCAGTGTACACTTTTTGATAGAGCAACTAAACGTTACAGTTCAACGGGCAGATGGAAGGGAAAAGAAACGGGATTTGGGAGCGCCCACTATGTCCTTAGTCTGCGAACATGGTTTGCAATTCTTTAAATGTCGCATGATTGATTTAGGGTTGTGAGCGTTCTAGAACATTCCCACCTGTGGCGTTTGTATCGTGGATCGGTCGTATTTTGTGCGAGGCCCACTAGCAGGAATAGGTCCTATAAGAGGTCCTTTTGGCTTTGACTTATAATAATAAACGTCTTTTACATTTTCAGTAGCCCGATTTTCCCCTTTTTGTGAAATTCCGCCTATATAAGGTCGAATATCCATCAATCAGCATCAGTTGCCCGAAAACAACAGGAGTTTAGGTTGATGGAGTTAATTATATTTGGTTCATTAGAACAATTGTAAGTAGCTTTAATTTAATATTATTTGGTCAGACTCAACACAATCAAATAGTCGCTTACACGCATTAACCAAGAAGTAAATGAATATATGC